TGGATATCCTGGTGAATTTAGAATTTTCAATGTGGAGCATTTGAACGAGGATCTCGTACAGTTGCATGCTACCTTTTGCCGTACTGCTGGTCAGGTGGAACACCAATATGGATCTTGCATAGTTTGTTGTCAAAACCCATGAGGATGTTCTATTGTGAGAGAGGGTGTTCAATTTCTGTTAGACAATGGGACTATCAAGATCACAGGTCAGAGAGATGATTATCACGAGGTTGATATGGTTGAAGTTTTTTTAATGGGAGAAGAGTCAGAAGAAGAATATGCCTCCGCGGATGAGTATTTTTCTTCAGACGAAGATTTGTTGGCTGAAAATGGTCTTTTAAGGGTTGATTGTGTTGAGGAAGGTGTAAATGTCATTGTACTTTGCTTTGGTACACCCGCTCACCTTGAGGTGGAGTACCATAGCAAACAAGTTGTTACCCCACTAGTAATTAGTCTGCCAGGTCTTGTTCCCTATAAATCGGATAAGGTTGTGCCTTACAAATACAACACTACAATCTTGGAGGATGGGGTGGAAGTGCCCATTCAGCCAATGCCAGATGTTGGAAATATAGCTGATAGTAGCAGGGCGACCCGTAGTGGTCGTGTGTTTGCGCCAGTTATTCGAAAAGACGTTGTTGCTGGAAAGAAAATTGCTGAGAATGATGAGCCGAAGAAGACGGCAGGAGAGACTAGTGGAGCTACATTGGAGAAAGAGGTGGATGATATCTTGAATGTCAAGTTTTGGCTTCTTGTTGGTTAGACGGTCCTTATCCTTAGCTTTTACCTTATGCTTTAGGATAGCCTCTCCTTCTCCTTCCATCTTCTTTAATTTCAAACATCTTCTCCCTCCTTTTGAAAACTCTTCTTGTTTTGAAATATAAACCACTTTTATAATAAACTTGGACTTAGGTCCATGCATTTTTCAAAACATTTTCATCAATAAACTTCAATCAATTTAATAATACTTTGACACTTTTTTGTGAGAAGACTAAAAGTCAATCAATCTCATTTCAAACCATTTTGCCACTTTGGCTTTTATCTTTAAACTTTTCTCAAAAGGTTAGACTCTTGTCAATCCTTGTAGTGATGCAAACAACTATACTTCTACAATATGTAGTGAAGGGAGATATTTTCCACTTGGGTGTTGAGTGAGGCATTGTTGATTTTAAAATCCAAGCCATTATCCTCCACTTTGAGATGATGCAAATTCTCCTTTCTCATGATTGTGGGTAGTAAGTATGTTTTCCATACAGACAATGACGATGATGTCTTATCTCTTAAAATTAACCAACACACTTGTGTTTCAAATTTTTTAAAAGAGGAACTACGTGTACCCTGATCCCCTATTGCATGAAAGGTGGTACGTAGGCGCTAAAGGTTCGCAACCGCGGCGGGTGCAAAAAAAAAATCATAAATAACATATTTCTTTTCTCATCTCCACCATCCATTTCATATATAACACATTTTATAGCCAACATATACAGATTTTTCAAAGAGGTTCCTGCGGAGTACCGTAGATGTTTAGGGTGCTAATACCTTCCCTTTGCATAACCAACCCCCTTACCTTGAATCTTTCCCCCTCTTTTTGGGTTATTCGCTCTTTTCTCATTCCTTTGGAAACAATAAAGCGCGGTGACGATTTTTATTTTTGATTTGTATAAAGGCTAGTCAATTCAATGGCTTAGTCTTGAACATTTCTACCGCTACAGCAAGTAACTATGAACATTCTACCTACTCAAAAAGTCTTAGTTCTTTTCCTCCTCCTTTAGATATTTATATCCTACCATTGATTGATAAGAAGCCCTATCATTGGATGTGAAGGGACGGGCGTGGGTCACCGTGTAGTCATAGAAGGCAACATTGTAGGATACCTTAGCAACTTTTGTAAAGGTATAATATCGTTTACCGAAGGCAGCATCGAAGAGTTCAAAGTGATATCTATGTTTTATCTTCATAAATGAACCACTAATGATGCTTGTATGAAGAGTTCAAAGTCAAGAAAACTTACCTTGAAATGGAATTTGTGTTTTGATTTAGAGTTGTTGTATTGTCTTAGAGAAGTCAAGTGGCTGTTTTTGGGCTTGGAAAATGGTGATGATGATGTAATAAAAGTTTCTCATGTGTTTGAACAACTCCTATATGATGTATGTGGAGTGTTCGGACAGAACTTACAAGGTGTGAGAGGTTCAAAGATTTGGACTTCAAAGCTCAAGAGTGGAGGTATTGTGGACAATTATGGTTTTTTGAGAGTATGAGGGGTTTTGAGAAACTTTTCTACACAACAAAACTTATGGCCCTTAGCTTTAAAATGGCCTCTCTATTTATAAAGAAGGTTAGAGAGGATGAGAGAGTTTGTTTTACAAGCTGTGAAATTCTGGTTTGGTTGAGATGGAACAACCAAGTTATGTGAAATTTGATGTTCCAATGCATGGTACAAAAGGGATCTGAAGTGGCTAGGAGTTTTTTAGGCATGTTTCTTCTTTCTTTGATAATTTGTATACAGAAAAACAATTGAGAGGCTCAAGGAGATCTGACTTTGTATAAATCATGCTTTATGTGAATGGCAATGGTGCCTTTGTGCCATAAATGGAATGATGCAATGGACAGTACTTGAATCACTTGGATAATGGTTCGATAAATTTTGTAACCATCTGATTATGGATAGATTTGCAAGTTAAAAGGCCTGGAAAGTAAGATTATGCAGCACATCGTGCAAATTGGATTATGTGTTCTTCAACAAAATGACTTGCAATTCAAGAATGGGTGCCCAACTTCATGCCCTTGAATCTCCTAGCTCAAGTATGATAAATTCATGCTCTTAGATGTTTTGGAAAGCTTTAAACATTGTCTACAACTTTCATGTTGACCACTTTGGCTAAATAAGATTGAAACTTGATGAAAATTTGCCAAGAAGTTGAGATAAAAGCTGACCTAAACCTGTTGAAAATTTCTCTAAGTGTTTTATGAAAAATATCATGACTTTAGGAATTTATAACTCAAAATCCAAGCACTTATAGGAATTTATCAACAAAGAAAAGTTGTAGATCTCATCAAGATCTATAACTTTCATGTTGAAAGTTTTCTTTGAATCATCTTGCATCTTAGTGAAAAATTGGCATGAAGTTATGAAATTATCATGTATGAAAACACTTAGATTTTTTTTTTAAATCTTGAAAAGTTTGACTTTTTCAAATTGACTTTTGAATTTATTTATTTCTTGATGGTCAAGCTTCATATCTTTGAATGTCTTGATAAAATTTGACATTTGAAACTAAATATTGACCAAAAAGTCAAAGTTTGTCTTTTGGTGTATCAGTTGACTTTTCATCAGTTGACTAAATTTCAACTGATCTTGAGAAATGATTTAAGCCATGGAATTGGGTCAACATTTTATGTTTGAGTCTTTGAGATTATGCTTCCACCCATTAGGTCATGTATTAGGTCAAAATGTCAATGATAAGTCGTTCTTAGTCAAAACCCTAATTTGTGGTCTCAGTGTTTTCAGAGGTGATTTTGTCTGATCAATTCTTGAGAATCCTTGAGCATTGGAGATCCCTTGTGAGGAATGTCTTGAAAAAAAGTGAGGGCAAATTTTGGGGTACAACAATGACTTGAGTGATTTTCTTAAGGAATCATGATCAAAGATAAAAGATGGAACAAAATATCTCTTCAAGATAGAAATGATGGTTTGAAGGAGACATGTTCTAAGCTAGTGGCAATGAAGTGCAGTGTCAACACTTCTAAAATATGTGACAGTAAGAAAGAGTGCAGAAGGATCTTTGATAGGGGCAAGAGGTGGAATACTACTTGAAGATGTTCAAGATTGTGTGTTTCCATCCGAGTTTGTGTTTCCATCTGTGTTTATTGCTTGTGCGCTTCCAATTGTTCTTACATTTACTCTATTTTTGTCAATTTTTTTGGCTAAAAAGAGGGAGTAAAGTGTTAGTGTTTATGTTTGTCCTGATGTTATGTCACATGTCTTGACATGTTGATTAGCATGCTGATAGGACTGTACTACTGCTAAGGTGAGAATAGTTATTGTGGTTGCCTATTGTATGCAACTGTTTAGGGAGAGCATGATAGTAAATCATGCTTGTTTGTGTATGTTGTTGCTACTACTGATGTGGTATTTGTGTGCATGATGTCATACCAGAAATTATTACATCTTGCCTGATGTGTTTTATTGAGAATTCTGACGTGAGGCTTATTTTTCTTCTGCTGCATGTGTGTCATACCCCAAATTTGCTCGCCTTAGTGCTACAATAAAAATTATTTTCAAACGTGGAGTTTTATAAAATTCTTTTGATTTACGCTAGTATTTTGAGATTTTATAAATATTTGTTTTCAAACCTATTTAAAAATATAATAAATTATCTCATATTATTTATATTTTTAAAATAACAAATGTTTACTCGTCTTCACATACTTTCAATTGGGTTATCATTTCAAATAAGTATCATAGCCCAATTGGTAAGGATTAAGGCTTGCAAATATGAGGTAGCGGGTTCAAATCTCTTGTGGAGCACTTATAACATTTTTCACTCATTCTATGTTGTGACCAATGATTAAATATGAGGCCACGTCGGATTTTATCTTTTTGCCTTTGTATTTAAAGTTATTTACCAATTTTTTTTTCTTCACAAACCACTTTCACACATACGTAACATTCACCCTTTATTTTTTTTCCAGATAATTCTTTTGGTTTGGTTTTGTACATAAGCAACCAGCACATGTTCAGCAAATTCCTCTCATGTAAAACAATTCATTCACTTCCAATCTCAACCAAAAACTCATTCCACAATGCTTACACGAGACACATACAACTATTCATAATAACCTTCACAAGCTGTATTATAATAACCGGCAAATCCTTTTTCAAATCATTGAACCACCCTTTTGCTGTGAATATTTCTAACTTTACACAAGCAGTTACCAACGTGTAAATCTACATATACTTTACTATTCACAAACTAAACAACCTCTTCGAATACACGAAAAAGATGCAAAGTATTGAAGCAGCACCACTACAGATCGCGATGACGCTCCAACTGACTACACACGATGCCCCACAAGCACACCGCATTGTATTTGAAGCACCTCAGACTTTCACCGCACCGGCCAGTCGGGGCCGGCACAGACGTGTTTGCTTCCATCTCCAAAAAGTTCCACCGTCTTTTAGTTCGCTCTCCGATAACCGTTGTTGCATTGTTTTCGTTCTCCTCAGGTTTGTTTCTTCTTTTTCTAAGTGAGTGTTTTGTTCATGGTTATCTCTTGCAAATTGAAATTAGATGAATTATTTGATGTGCATGTTTTGAGTAGTGACTTGTGTGCACCTTTGTTTGTTGTTTGTCTCTTTGGATATGAGAGATGTATTTGTTGTAGAGAAAGAAGATTTAGGACTGAAGGAGATAAGTGTTGGTGTATGTTGATTTATGTGAAAAGAGTAGAATAAATTAATGTGAGGAGAGATATTTTTTTTGTTTTTTTTGACAAAAATTGAAAATAATCCCTTTTGAAAAGTCAAACCTACCTTTCTATTCATTCATTATTCATTTGGTTTTATTTATTTATGATTGCAATTCTACATCCCTGGCCATGCATACATGTTTACTGATATATGAAGGTTTCACTTTTATCTTTCTTTCTTTTTTTTCTCCTATTATTTAGTTATCATATTTAGTGTTATTTGTTTATTATTTAGGTTTAATTGAGTTTAGAAGTTTTAATTGGGCCCTAAACCCATTGCTCTTTGCACTTCCTCTGTTAATTTATTCAATTTATATTCTCTACTAATATCTTTAATGAATGTGATTTAGTCTATTTAATTAAGTCTAGTCAATTATTAGAAAAATATCAAAATACAAAAAATCATCTAACATATTAAAATCCATGCAACTCATCAAATTCAACATCCGCGAATGACACGTGGTCAATATCTGGCCACGTGATAAGAAGACTATATTAGACTCTCTCTTCTATGTCTTAATATAGCTAACCAACATCAAAACATTTTTCTACTAACATAACAAAAACTTCAAGATCATTTTCAAAAAAAAATCAAATAGCATTGTCTTCGAATCAAACTGCGAACCGCGTCTACGATCACTCAACTTACAACTCATACAAGGTTCAAGGATAACTAGAAAGCGATTCTACAATCCTCTAAAAAACACCAACCAACCGTGAACTACGAATTGAGACTTTGATTCCTCCTAAGAGGATAGGTATGCATACGATTAAAATCGTGGTGAGTTCCCCTAATAAAACATTGAAACTCTTTTTCCTAAAAAATGTGCTTCTAAATCTAGTATCCTTGTGAACAAGGTAGATGAGGGGTGCCTAACACCTTCCTTTCATCTAGAAACGAGTCCAACAATCTAGAATCTTTAACTATTTTAGGGTTATTCCTTTATACTCCCTTCCTTAGGATAAAAATTAAGGGTGACGACTCTGATTTAAAAAACTAGTTGCTACAATGTGCCTCTGATGTGAACTTGGATAGTTCATGTTTTGGATTTTTTGGTGATTTGGGTTTTCCCTTTAAGGGGGATTTTTGGTTATGTATGACATGGAGAGTAATAGACCTGTCTGATTGAACAAGCCCTTGTGTTGTGTTGGAGTTGTGTTGATATGATGTCAGACTACACGTTTGGACATCTGGCTTCTAGAGTATTGAAGATGGTGATCTGTAACTGCAATATAACTCTGATATATTTTTATGTTTGCAGTTTGTACAAAGTCTACATGTTTTTCATGTAGCTTGTGTTTGTGGTTTTATTCTTCTCTCCAGAATTATTTTCTAAAGATCGTTTTATCCAAAATTTGCCAAAAGGGGATATTGTTAGGCCTGTGATTTTATGATTGACAATAATTTTGGTAAAACATATATCACAACCTAATTTTGAGCAAGATGTCATGACATCTTGACCAACTAGTACAACAAAGTCTGTTGTTACTATTTTTGACAGATATTCTGACAGATATTGTGACATGTTATACCAGAACATCATAATAGCACAGTTGTTTAAATCCTTGAAGATTTGATTTTAAAATATGAGATTATGTATGATTGTAGTTCTCTATAGGCGCAAAAGAATATTTTAGAAACAATGCAGATTTGATTTCATAAAAGGATCTTGGAGACTTTTTAGGAAACTTTGAAGATTTGTTCCTTTTTTTGGGTAAAAGATTCTGCATGTGATTTATAACCTGAAGATTGGATTTGATTGAAGAGTCCAAGCCCATACTGCAAGAGTCTATATAAAGGGACTTACTAAACCTAGAAATTTAAGCATTATCATTAAAAAAACTGTATGTGGGTGAAATAGAGGTTTAGGGTTTTGAGAGTACTTTAGTTGCTTTATTTGTTTTTGTATGTCACTCATGTATCTTTTGATACATTGAGGTAGACTGATTGTCCATTGTTACTTGGAAATCACTCATAAGCTTTTAAGTAAAAAGTTCATTGTTAGTAGACTCTGAACCCGTGAGTACGAAAGAGGCTCTTAAGCAGCAAGTTTGGTTATAGGCTATGAAAGAATAACTTGATGCTATAGAGAGAAATAAGACTTGGAAGCTGACAGAACTTCCAAAAGGCAAGAAAGCCATCAACGTTAGATGGGTTTTCAAGCAGAAGTTAAATCCAGATGGATCAATTGGCAAACACAAGGCGAGATTAGTAGCAAGGGGTTTTCTATAGAAGCCTGGGCTGGATTACTTTGAAGTGTTTGCACCTGTATCAAGACATGAAACAATCAGACTAGTGATTGCAATACCTGCTAACAGGAATTAGCCTCTGATGCATTTAGATGTAAAATCTGCATTTCTAAATGGTCCATTACAAGAAGTGGCGTATTTCTTACAACCTCCTGGATTTGAGAAAAATAATCAGGAATGGATGGTGTTCAAATTACACAAAGCATTATATGGACTGAAGCAAGCGCCCAGAGCTTGGAATTTGAAGATTGATTCATTTTTCAAGAAACAAGGGTTTCAGAAGTGTGAGATGGAGTATGGTGTTTATGTTCAGCACACTTCAGAAGGTAATATGATTTTGGTCTGTTTGTATGTTGATGACATATTACTCACAGGAAGTTCTGAACAAGAGATAGCTGAGTTCAAGAAAGTTCTGATGAATGTATTTGAGATGACATATCTTGGAAAAATGAGTTTCTTTCTAGGGGTGGAATTTATGTACTCTGAGAAAGGAATCATTTTACATCAGATGAAGTATGAACTAGAGCTTTTGAAGAGATTTGAGCTAGAAGATTGTAAGGTTGCTATCACACTTGCTGATACAAATCAGAAGTTAGACTCTGATTCTGATGGAGAGGATGTGGATGCTACAACCTTCAAATAAATGGTTGGTTCTCTAAGGTATTTATGTAATACCAGACCTGATATTTGCTATGCAGTTGGAATGGTTAGCAGATTTATGAGAAAACCAAAGTGGTCTCATTACCAAGCTGCAGTCAGGATTCTGAGGTATGTGAAGGGAACTCTGAAATATGGAGTGTTATTTCCATCTGGAAGAAAGATCGAATCAGAACTTCTGAATTATTCTGATTCTGATTTGTGAGGAGATAGAGTTGACAGAAGAAGTACTTCTTGGTACTTATTCAAATTTCTGGGAGGTCTTATTTCTTGGTGTTCCAAGAAGCAATATGTTGTTGCTATGTCAACTTGTGAAGTTGAATATATTGCAGGTGCTCTGACTGCATGCCAAGCTGTGTGAATTTTGAACTTGCTGAAAGATCTGAAGATTGAGGTGAATAAACCTCTGAAGCTGATGATTGATAACAAGTCTGCAATAAATCTTGCCAAGAATCCAGTGTTGCATGGGAGAAGCAAGCATATTGAGACCAAGTATCATTTTCTGAGGAATCAAGTTCATAATAGAATATTAGAGGTTGTGCACTGTAGCACCCAGAAGCAGCTGGAAGATGTTCTGACAAAGGCTATTAAAACTTATCAATTTCTTGGATTAAGGGATGGAATTGGTGTTGTCAGTTTCGGGTAAATATAAATTAAGGGATGATGTTAGAATTAATTTAGATTTAATTAGATATTAATTTATATTTAGGAATATCTTTTATATTTTTTATATCTTTGTTAGAAGATATATATCTTAGATCTTCTTATATCTTTATAGAAGATATATTTTAGATTTAATTTTGTGTATAAATAGCCTACTAGAGTAGGTTATTATAATTCATTGTAAATCCTTATTTTGAAGTTGTCAGTAAATATATTTCTTTGTCGTTTATCTTCCTTGTGCACCAACAATTGTTAGGAGGCTTTGATTCTATCAATCCTCTAATGGATCTTCATCAACTTTGACCTAAGTTGAATGTTCAAATAATCATGGATCACTCTTCTAAAACATTCAACTCTCAACTATTAATCACTAACTTCTGACCAGTGACTATTAATCATTGACTTTACCTTATGCTTTTACTTTATGCATTTATTTTTTGTATTTACTTTATGTCATTTACTTTTAGCATTTACATCTCATGTTATTTTCCTTTTGCTCACTTGAGCATTTACTTTCTGTCATTTTAATCTTTGCTCACTTGATATTTATTTTCTTTTGTAAATACACTTAATAATCAACTTGAACTTGAAAGATTTAAAATCTACTTGGACTACTTGGTTACTATCCCTAGTGTTGCAACTGGTTTTTAAATAGAGTCGTTACCCTTAATTTTTATCCTAAAGGAAGGGAATATAAAGGAATAACCCTAAAGTTCAGAGATTCTAGATTTGGACTCGGCTCTAGATGAGGGGAAGGTGTTAGGCACCCCTTATCTACTTTGTTCACAAGGATACTAGGTTTAGAAGTGCATTTTTAGGAAATAGGGTTTTTAATTATTATTGGGAAAAAGGTTTGAATTTTAGTTAGCAGGACTCAACATGATTTTTGATCGTATGCCTACGTATCCTCTTAGGAGGAATCAAAGTCTCATTTTGTAGTTCGCAGTTTGGTTGGTTTTTTTTATGGATTACGCGGATATTTTAATTTTCCCCGCACTTAGTTCGAATGTGTAGATAGCGGAGATTTTGAACTAAGTGTGAAGTTAATTAAAAACTCTTTGTATTCCGTTTTGAAAATTGATTGTTTGATTTAATTTATTACAAAAATAGTTTGACGTTTGTTTTAGTATTTTTTAGACGTATATAACCGAAGAGTCTGATATAGCTCTCTTATCACGTGGCCAAATATTGGCCACGTGTCGCTTACAAACATTATAATTTAATAAAAATACGGGTTCTAATATTTGGATATAAAATATTAACCTAAATTATGTCACGAAAATTATTTTTAAGTGAGAGGTTTTAATATGAATAAACTAATATATTTACTAAGTCTAAAAACCACTATTTAATTATGATAATAAGTAAATTATATATATATATATATATATATATATATATATATATATATATATATATATATATATATATATATATATATATATATATATATATATATATATATATATATATATTATTAAAGTAAAATATATATAAATAAATACAAAAAATATAATTAAGAATAAATTTATAAAGTGAAAATATAAAATAAAAATATATAATTAGAGAGGGGGTGTTGTTTATAGTGAATTAGTAAAATGAAGGGGGGGGGGGTGTACAGCAGGGGATGCAAAATTCTCTATATGTTAGTAAAATAAAAAAAGGTAGGGTGCTTTTACTGATTTGGGCCAAGCCCAAAGACTAGTTAATATGGATTCATTGGCTAGCATGCGGATAAGGACATGGTGTTACTAGAGACACGCGCAGATGAGCCATTTGATGGCAATCAGGTGAGTGTGTTTTAACGGTGCGTGATGTTTATCATGGGGGGCACGTATTGAATCAATTTCCCTAATATTTTCTTATTTCACAAAAACACAAAAAACTCAACAACACCCTTTGTCTCTCTCCCAGCGAACCCCTTCATTTTTTTCTCTCTCTTTCCTTTTCTAACTATCGACCCTAACCCAAACCTCCATCCGGCGACGACGGTCGACTCACCCTCTCCGCCACCCCCAAAGCAGAACGAAAAATTCTCCCAGATCCAAATACACCAACAATCAAGTCACAAAACAGAAAAAAGTTATGTAATTTATAAACTCACCGTGGTTCTTCGTACTATTTCCGATTTGGGATTCTTCTAATCCTTTCTCTCTTGTTTGGACAGGTAACGAGGGATGAAAGCTTGGAGCGGCGATGATTCAAACAACGGATTGTGAGTAAGGAAATTAGGGTTTCAGATTATGAAACTCTAATTTCTTCTTCTGTGAAAAAAGCTCTCCCTCACGGCAATTTCCTTCCTCCTCTATAAGAATTTTTGTTTTGTAATCTTTCTTTTTCCTTTGCGTAAGAATGCTGTAATTTTCTCTCTCTTTTTCTTCGTCCCCTTCTCTGTTCTAATCCTAGGTTCTTATAGTGATTAGGGATTAGAGTATTTTAGGAAAACATTCAATGTGTCTGCAATTATGTGTCACGAATTTCAAATTGTTTCCCTTTTTGTGTTGATTTGTTTTAAGTCTGTTTCTGTAATTAGAGGAAATTAAATTTTTTCAAACTGTTTCTACATTTAGCCGATCATGTCCTGATTGCGCTCCTGCATTCATTGATTCTTGTTTAATGAGTATTGATTCAGGTGTAAATGTTATGATCCTGTGCTTTGATGAGTATGCTCTATTCTGAATTATAGCACATTTTCAAATTGTGAATTAATTAAGTTTTGCTTTTGGTTTGATACTTTTCTTTTAATTCTGATATGAAAGGGATGTCTATTTTGATAGGTCGTGAACTGGTTTATTCATTGCAAACTGTCTTTTACTGGTCTGTGAAATTAACCGGTTCATTGAACTTGTTTTCTTTGGGGACATACAAGGTACTGGTTTCCGTCGCCTGTGGAATGGGAAACTGAAGCGATGCAAGCTGAGTTGAACAGCTTTGGTATGGATCTGAAATTGGCTCTTCTTTGTTTTCTTTGACGTGACTTGTTTAGTAGGATGTACTTCGTATATACATATCTTGTAATGGTATTGATGTAAATGGTAATGATGGTTTGAACTTGAAATGTCTTTGTCCATTCTTAACCTCATATGAATGTATTGATTCTTTACATATTTTGTTAATTCTTTAACTAAATGGTAGAATCCCAAATACTCAAAGCATACTTCTCTTCCAAATTGTAATTCCCTCTTTTTTCTTTTGAACGAACCATGAACATGTCTTGATAAGATCTACTTGAACTTGATACGATGATGTTGAATCGGACCTAAATGAATTTTAATGGACAATATCTTGCTGGAACTTTGAATAATATTGAACGGATGTTGCTTGAAGTTTTTTTTAGAAGAATGAATCTTGATGAAATCCTTTGAACAATATCTTGATCTTGTCATGATTTTCATAAGAAAATAGATTTAAACCAAAGTTTAAACCATATTTTTCTTTTAAAGAAACCTTAATCCCAAGTTCCACAAAAAATATCATAAGCAATTGAGAGAGTATAGCCATGTCATGATTACAATGAATCCATCATTTCTTATACCATGTCTTAACTTAAAACAGTCTCAATTGAAAACCAATATTGAAACCCTAGTGATCTCGCCCTTGATGAAAATGATAACTTTGTAGCTTGATGAAATAAAAGATCCAAGATAAATTTGTAGCTTGACAATGTGGAACCCTAGCTTTATTGATTCCCTGATCCCATGCCAAGTTTATTGATTAATGATGCATGATGTGTTTAGATGGCCTAATGTAAGGACAAATTTGGGGTATGACATCTGCCCCTATTTAATCATCTTTCGACTGGACGGTGTAAGAATATGCAGGTCTCGCGTGTTCTGGTTGGAATTTTATTAAATATTGGAGGACCCCGAAATTTGTCCGAAAGATTACAAAGATACACTGCACAGCGTTCACATGTGTGTGAAGAATAGGTGTAGATGATGATGTATCATCTAACCCGCATTTGAACCGAAGTTGACCTGATTTAGACATGACGACACAAGTAACTCGTCGGTATCTAAAGGAGATTGCAGAAATTTGCATATTTACTGTACTCTAGGAGGTAAATGATGTAAGTTTGAAAAAGTTGACTTACCAATGCTTGGAGACTAATATAGTAAGTTTTGGTTTGATTTGTTTTTGCCTATTCATCGCAACCTAGGGGATGGATAAAACAAAGTCTGATAACACATTATTGCGTGGAGACTAACGCAATGGGTTATATCTGGGAAAGAAACTATGATGGTGATATTGTTGCCTGGAGACTGATGCAACGGATTATATCGTAAAAGCGAGTTTGATAATAAAATTGTTGCATGGAGACTGATGCAATGGAAAATGTTTGGTAATGACATTTCTGCATGGAGACTGACAAAATGGGTTGAATTGTAGATTTTGCACATTGCTGCATTGAGCCTGACACAATGAGCTAGATCATGAAGAAAGAACATATTGTTGCATGGAGACTGATGCAATAAGTTATATGTAGAGATTTCACACATTGTTGCGTGGAGACTGACACAACGGGTGAAGTTGTTGACTTTGCAACATTGATGCCTGGGGTCTGACACGATGAGCTGGATTGCAAAGAAAGAATATATTGTTGCATGGAGACTGACACAATAAGCTAAATATATAAAATTTCACACATTGTCGCATAGAGACTAATACAATGAGTGGAATTGTCGACTTGATAACATTGCTGCCTGGGGTCTGACACAACGAGCTAAGAAAGAAACACATTGTTGCATGGAGACTGACACAATAAGTTAATTTGAAAATTTTAGACATTGTTGCATAGAGGCTGACACAATTGGTGGAATTGCTGATTTTGCAACATTGTTGCCCGGAGTCTGGCACAATGAGCTAGATCACAAAGGGATAACATATCCCTGCATGGAGACTGGCATAATATGTAGAATGATTCACACATTATCGCATGGAGACTGACACAATATTTTTGAATATAAAGGAAGTTGTTTGAGTGATCCATATCTTAGTTAACTAAAACTGAGATGAGAACGGGTTTTTTTGGTTATTTGTTTCTAACCGAGGTAAGAATTGATTGGAGGGCCCTAAGATACTGGCTTTGTTCGTAGTGGATTTCGAGGAATTCCATATGCGATGTATGATGTGTAATGATTGACTAATGTATGTGATGTGATAATTGATTGATGTATGTGATTAATGACTTGGATAATGTGTGAATGGATGTTGGATTTTGAAATGTGAATGTGTAATTGGGCCTTTTGAGGTATGCTCGAACCATGCTCTCAGATTTTGTCAGATGGATGAGATGTAAGTATAGCCTGGTTTTGGATCGAAGAGCTCTAATGCATGATTTATGCAGCCTTATGCTTTATGATTATGACTTGAATGATTTTTTGAATGGTGCACCTGTGATGGGTCGTGGATGATTAAAGCGTAAAGGTTTGCCTATGCAACAATGCTGCTTGTCACATGATGGTATAGTGTTGTGCTTGCATGATTCCCTGATACTCAATTTGAATTTGAAGACTACTGATGTAGAAGAAAGACCCACTGGAGGTTGTGAAAGTGTGCGGAGAGCTTGCCCATGTGTGGACTATTTCTTTTTTAATTTGTGGGTAGGGTCTTGGAGGAGATTCTCTTTAATATGAGCTTGGAAACAACTTGACCATAATGTGGATGACCCCAATATCTTGTATTATGCCCCTGATTAACAGATTCTTGAAAATACTTGGCTTTGATAGAACCATTTTGAATCAACTCCTTTTGATCGAGCCTCACAGTAGTTTTCCCCAACATTCGAATTTTAAAAAGATGTGCCCCCTCAATCTCTAGGATCTGGAGGAAATACCTTCAGAAAGAGCTTTAGACTTCACCATGAACTCAACATAGTTATCCCTAAGTATTCGAAGCTTGAAAATATTTGTACTCGAAATTGCTTGAAGAATTCAGACCCTACGTGCAGTAGGATGAACTTGGTATGTACTTCCCCAACATTTGAATCTTGGAAGGTTTCCCCTGCTTCCAGGCCTTGAGAGGTTTATTAAAACGATGAAACCTAGTCATATCCTGTCGTGGCATAAATGCTTCTTCGAAAGGTATGCCCCTTGTTGAACAGTGCTTTGAAATTTGATCCAAGTTGATTGAACCTCAGAATAATCACCCCTTGTCAATAGTATGTGATATACCTTACGATCATTAGTATTTTCCCTCGTATATAGGGATATCCTTAGATGTTTTGCCCCTAGTTATGAGCTTCCTAGGAAGGATGACTTTTGATCAAACCAAATTTGAGATCTTCTTGATGCTAAGTATTAATCATAGACAAAATTGTACATTTTGAAAAATTAATTCTGTTTGATGCACATGCAAGTTCTTGAATCAAAATTGATTATTTGAAAAGAAATGGAAGGTTAGAAGATGAATATTCGAAGAAGAAAAGTAGTTAGAAATAATTTAACAAACATAGGAGTCAGTTTAACACAAATCTTGCTGAGTATGCTTTCATAGTGAACCTAGCCTCAATTATGACTTTTAAAGGTTGTAACGTGGCCATGGTTCGTGGTTTAAGAAGCAAAATATATAAGGCTCAAAATTTATTTATCCCGCCCCAATCTCCTTAATGTTCTTCAATCCCAAGTCCAATTAATCCAATAGATGCGTTTAATCCTCAAGAGAAAATTCGTAGTCACGCATATGATGAGAAGCGTAGATAAAGATCCAAGCGCCAATGAAAAGCATTGACAAGATCCAAGCACTGATAAGATTCAAACACCGATGAAAAAGTTTTGATAAGATCCAATCATTGATAAGATTCAAGCGTTGATAATATCCAAGCATTGATGAGAAGCCTTGATGATTCTTGAGGTGGCAATCACAAGATTGTTTTCCAATTTATTGTTTTCAATCCCTTATTTTTGCATGGGCCGGTTTTTTTTTGAATTTTTTTGAATTTTTTCGATCCATCGGGATGCCCTAACTTTTACCTCTGTCAATTTTTTATTTCTGTTGACTTAGCGGACTTTCAATTTTTTTTTATTTTTTATTTTGCTTTTGATTTTGACAATTTGTGACTGCCATGCTGATTGTTGTAAGCTTCATCTTCATCGCTTCCTCGATCTTGATTGATGCACCGAGGAGAAAGATGTTGTGAACTTTGTCTTAGTTGATTCCTCAATCATAGATGATGAATGCGAGGAAGATGATGTGCTCGAGTCTTTGCTTAGATCGTTCTCTCGATGATGCATCGAGGAAAGAGATATGCTTGAACCTTTGCTTAGATCATTTCGACTCTCCTGGTATTTGAATGCATCGTCGAATTAATTGAAGTCTACCCTGCCCTTGGTTAAGATTAAGGTTTTTTAGAGAATAGAAAGAACTCTGACTTCTGGCTCGAGGGGGTTAACTACGAATTAGCTCCTTATATCTCCATTGTTTAGGAAGTGAAACAATGCCTTACATCGTCATCTAAGCCTTACTATTAAAAAGCATACATCAGCAAAATTCGATTATTTTGTATTTTCATCATTCTCCATCGAAGTTTGTTGAAGTGAAAAATGGAAAAAGAAGATAAGAATAGAAAGTCGTTGATTATTTGTGGAATGAATCGATTTCAAAAACATGCATGCTTATTTTATTAAAATTAATTGACCAAAAAGTACAAAGTTTATGACAAATAACACTCAGCAAGAAAGAAATTACAATTTGAAATGATAAAAACCTAATGATCTAGAGATAAGCCTTATTGTTGATCCACTGACTTTAGGAGATTCTTCGTAGTTTTTAGACTTGTCGGATCATGGGGATGACCCTTGACTTTTCTTGGGCATGCTTATTTTGTTGATAGGATAATTTCTCTTGATGTAGAGGAATCACCAATGGTAGGGGCATTTGAGGCACTGTGTAGGCCTGTAGGTTTTC